TACTCCTTGCTTCCCAGTTCATCTTCCTGCCACTTTTCCCCAGAAAGCCAGACATCCTCTGAGCATCAAGGCACCGCTGCTCAGATGCTGCACTCAGCGAGTAGCTCTCTGGAGAATACGCTCGCATCTGTGGTGCCGCAATGAGTTTCAAAAATTAGTTTCGTTATCTTTTCCCAACATTCTCCTCCCCTCATTTAAAAAGAAATCGATTGCTTGCTTTTTGTTGGTATCACCCTCCAGCTCCCGCCCCTCACCAACAATGTGAGTCGTTTCTGCGGAAGACGAACTGAAGACACTTTTTAACTCAGACCAAATTTAATCACTAATTCAGCGCGCCCAGAGGGCCTTGGCCCATTGAAAGACACCCCAGCACCCACACCTCCTGCAAGGCTCCGGGCCCCCAGCCGGAGTCCTCCTCCCTCAGCGCCCGCCTCCCAACACACACGTGGACCATAAAGACTTGCAGTACTGAGAATGTGGGGGCCATCGTTTTGCTCTGGTTATTCTCAGCTTCCGCAGGAGGTGCTGGTCCCCTGGATTAGGCAGAAACATACCAGGAAAGGGGCTTGAACTCAGGCAGAGGCCTTAACTTAATGTATCCTGGTAAATCAAGCCAGCTGGTTGAGGGTTAAACTGAAAGAAAAAAAAAAAAAAGCCCAGAAACTGGGAGACTGGGAAAGAGGGGTCAGAAGACTCTTGAGGGCCTCTGAGCTTTTACGTGCATGTATGCATATTTTCCAGTGGGGGAGAGAAAGGGACCATATAATTTATTGCCCAAAGTGGGGCACTTTTGAGTAAAAAAGAGAGCTCTGTGTAATTATGTCCACTCGAGCATATTTACAGTTCATAATGATGCACAAACAAGTTGCTCTAGTGATCATGAGTTCCTGGGAGGTTGGCCAGAGAGGACCTGGACCATTCAGCCGGCCACCACAGTGCCGCAGAATTTGAAAAGAAGGTGAAGTGGTCCCATGCCTCCTGGCACATCTCACCATCCAATTTCTTGCAAAGCTGCCTAGGACTCAGTCCCTGACCTTCAGGGAACTCATCTGTCCCCTCAGGCCATCGCCGTGACTGCTGAGCAGGATCCCTTAATCCGTCTTGTCCCATGAAGGCTCCTGTGCTGGTGCCCGTCTCAGGAACAGACCTGAGGCAGCCTCTGCTGCTGGATCAGAAAGAAAGTGCCAGGCTCCTCTGTTCAGTGGCCACCAACCTTATAACTAGGGGCAGGGAGGCCTTGTTCCAGCCCCATCTGGGCCTCTGATTTCAAATGAAAGTTGAATCAAGACGTTTTGTTTTTCCTCCCTATGTCCCCTTTCTTCAACTGTAAGATGAGGAGACTAACACCCGCCCTGCTCAGCTCACGTGATTGCTTTAGAATTATATTTTTTCAATTCCAGGAAATCTACGAAGGTTTACTATAAGCCGGGCCCTGTGCTGGGTGTTAAGGATTCAAGTATGAGTCAGATTTGGTCTCTGCCACCCAGGAGCTGAGAGTCCAGCTTCAGAGAAACACATGGAAATACATCATTTCATTGTGTAACAGTGTGGCAATTAGATATCAAGGCATCAGGGGAGCGTAGAGGAAGAAACAGCTTTTCCTGGGCTTCAGGGAGCTTTCCCAGAAAGTGTGTATTTTTTTTTTGTCACCTTGAATTAATCAGCAGCAAATAATATTAAAACCTACTAGGCACCAGACACTGAGTATAGAGAGACAATGATTTTAAGAAATGTATTTCCTGTCTTTGTGGATCTTGAAAAAGTTCTGTGAGTCAGAAAATAACATGAATAAGAGATTGTCATTGGCATTTCAGGCAGAGAGAAAAAAATGTGCAAAAGCAAAGGAGTGGGATGTTCTGAAATTCCTAGTAACTCCCCACGGCTCTGGGATTGGCAGCTTGGGAGCAGCGGCCAGGCACGTGGCCGGGAAAGGGTAATGGGATTAGAAAGCAAAGTGGCTGATAGACCAACCAGAGACCTTAGTGGTGGAAGAGCTGTAGAGTCAAGGTTGACATTAAATAGGGAAGGTGGCACAGTTGAGTGGGGTTTTAGAAGGATTACACTGATACTGGAGGTCATACGGAGTAAATATCAGTGGGCTTCTGGGAAGAGAGAGCCATTGCCTAGAGAGATGAGGAAAATTGCAAGTATACAGTGATGTGTAACTGATGCTCATACACAATTGACAATACATTCATTACTTCCGATGAATCACACATTGGTCACAGTTCTACCCACTTTTGACCTTTGAAAACTACTGTAGGGCAGGATAAATTACATAATTTATACCAAGTGTCTTAAACATTTTTATGTGTATTGACAATAATTCATCTCAGATTGAAAAACACATGTAGTTGGAAGACATGTGTGGGAATCTTTATTCATTCCCTTTTAACTATAAGACTAGATGAATTTAGAATATCTTAATTATAAAGTGGAATTCTAATCTGAATTTTAACTAACACATGAAAATTTTGTAGATACCTATAAAGCAACTAGCACAATGTCTTGCATATAACATAAAGTTATTATTATTATTGGAATATGTTCACAGAAAGCAATCCAACATGTAGTAGTAATAATAATAATAATAGATAAGATGCTTACAGTATCAATAAAATGTATGGGAGTCGTTAAATATACAGCTGTAGGCATGGTTAAATATAATTATGTAGCTATGATAAAAGATTAAATGGCAATTGAAATAAGGATTATAGGAGGGGAGGCCAGAGCTCAGTGGTAGAGTGTGTGCTTAGCATGCACAAGGTCCTGGGTTCAATCCCCACTACCTCCATTAAAAAAAATAAATAAATAAGTGAAACTAATTACCTCCCCCCTCAAAAATTTAAAAGTAAAAATAAATAAGGATAATATAATTACATGGAAATATTAACCAGTCCACTCTGTAGGACAGTCAGATTCAGGTGCCATATATCACTAGCCTGCTGTATACGCTTTCCAGAACATTCTCTATCTTGCAATGTATTTAACTATAGTTTAAACCACTTCATCACTCATTAGTTCATTCATTTAGCAAACATACAAACATACCTCTAAGTGTGAAGCCTTAAGCTAAGCGCTGTATTGGTTAATCAAATAAATGGTTTTGGAGAGCAGTTCCTAAGCCTACTGCATCCTTTGAAGACTGATAGATACCACAGGCGACAGCATTCATCTTTCTTAAACAACTTTTACAGCAAGTCATACCTAGGCTCAAAACTCTGTGACAAACTTCTAGGACAAATTGTAGAGAATGTCACTGCATGTTGATGTGCAGGCTGTGGACCACACACATCCAGAACATTCCATTCCCCAGTGAGGTCGTTGTGAATGGTGCCCCTAGAGTTGTGCAAAACCCAATCTTCTAGACCATACGTGCAACGTTGGGGGCTAGAATTCAAGAACTTCCCAAGGACTTCACCTCCCAGTCTTCTTGGTTACATGCCCACGAGCTGTTCACCACTCTGTGGACTCCAGACTTCCGCCTCTATGCCTAAGACTTGAGTTAGACCCTCCTTGATATTTGATGCCTCTCTTTTTCCCTGAAATTACTCCTTTCCAAGGTGTCCCCTCCACGTTGCTCAACAATTTTCAGCCTAAGTCATGTTTCCCAGTTCTCTTATTTGGCTTTATGGCTGCCTCAGGTTTTAAATGGTATAGTCAGCATCCAGGAGGCATGGGCGTGCTTGGTCAGTGATGAGGTGGTCTGTGCTGTTAATGCATGAGCTGCAATCCAGCTGCTCTGATAAGAGAATCAACAGATTTCTTAACATCAGAGTCAGTAAAAGTCACCAAGAAGATAAGTACTTCCAGTGACTCCTCTGTGTTGACTCTAGAAAGACTTTCTGTCCTTCCTGCGTGTAAGGAGGAAGAGGGAGATCCAGGGGAGAGGGTGCTGCAGCCACCAGAGATGCATTTGGCTAAGTTCACTGTGATCGTAAGATTCACACACCCTCATGATGGAGAGATGCATTTCCGGTGGGGACATGGCCTGTGGCCCGCTTCCAAGCTTCATGTCATAAATTGCTCCATCATTTTGAGGATCTTCTCTGTTACTAACTTTAAAAATTGTGAAACATTAATCGTGTCTTTGAGTGCTACACGAGCACTTTCTTTCTCTCTGGTTCTTATACAACTTATCAAAATAGGTATTATTATCCCCACTTTGCAGATGAAAGAACCAGGACCCGGAGAATCGAATTCACTTTTTCCACGTCGCTCACTGCTCAGTGGCCATGCTGGTCACGTGTGTGTTGGTGAGTATATGCCTGTGTGTTGAGGAGAAAGGGGGCAGGGGGATGAATTTCCTCTGAAACAATATAATATTGACTGTGTCACGTTGCCAGTCATACTTTTTTACATGTCTAACCCTCTGGCTTGAATGGCCCACTTAAAATCCTTCTGTAACAGTGATTTCTTTTCTCAATCTTTTTTTTCCCGGACAGCTGGGGTTTGAAAAGTAGTTGTTTCTGTATAAGGAGATTTCTAGTAGTAGCTATTAAAAAGGTGACTTTGGGTTTGTGTGTTTGTTTGACCTTGGCTAGGTAGGGGCTCTGTTTTTCTCTTTGGATAAATGGCCCACCAGTAAAAGTTTAGCGTATAAATGCAGCAGAAATAGCCATGTTGGCATCAGTTTTTCCCCCCGCCCAGGCCCTGGTGTTGTAGCTCTTCCTCCCATACAGGAAAAGAGTTGTTGAGTGCTTACAAGTGAAATGAATACAGGAGAATTTTCATTGTTCTTGCTCTTAGAGGAGAGTGGGAAAGCTAACATATGGGAATTTTCTGGGAACGGCCAAGTGTCTACCATGCTGTTGGGTATTCCTGAGCAGCTAACGAACAGAAATGAAAATGCGTGAAATGATCCAGCTAGTCTAGGACGTGCTACAAACTTACAGGTTACTTAGAGTGCTAGGTTCCTGTAAAAATGGGTTCAGTCTGAAGGGTGTTCTGGAAAATCTTGTATGTGTTTCCATACGTGGCACATAGACCTCGTGGAAGGGGTCCCACCGCTCTGTCTCATGAGCTTTAGGCCCCCCATTGGCCCCATTTCGGGCCCCCCATGGCACTTCGATCCCTTGCCTTTCATGGAGTGGAGGTACCAGTACCTTCCTTACAAAGGGAATTGGCTGGATCGAATGATCATTTACGTCCCTCTTCAGCTTTTAAAAGCTAACCTTCAGTTTGAGAAAAACAAGCTTGTCAGCAGTAAACCAGTGTCTGAACAACGACGCATTGAGTTTTCGTCCCATTTGGGCCCCGACTTGGCCAATTAGCAACGTGGCCTCAGATGGCCCTGACTGCTCAGATTAAGGTCTATTAAGAATTCGTATGTGCAGTAGGTTTGCCAATTTGCAAAGCATTCTTATGTATGTGTCCCATTTAATCCTCACAATAGCGCCATAAAGGAGGTTCCATGACTAGCCTCAGTGGAAGAAACTGAGGCTCAAGGAAGGGAAATCACTACTCAGCGCAAAGCCAGTACTTCTGATAGCAAAGCCTGTGTTCGCTGTGTGACATTGTGTCCTTCCCACACGGCCCCACCGCCGCCACGTCCTTGCTCCCTTGGTCCCCTTTCCTCATCATTCTCTGTCTTCTCTCCGTTTCCTTCTGTGTCCACAGATCGTTTTAAATTTAAAACAGTTTGGGGGTCCTACATTGGGGCTTCCTGCATAGCATTTCATTTGATGGTTTCATCTGACAGTTGCAAATCAGGAAAGCATCTCCAAACAAAAAGGCAACATCTATAGAATAGTAGTTTCTGCCTCATGAGCCCTGGATCCCCCGGTGGGCTTAGAGCAGAGCGCATGCAGCATGGCGACTCACTGGCTTGCTTTCCGCCAGATGGCTAGCTCCTAGCAATTAACCCAATGCTTTAGAAAATGTGTCCTGCTGTCCATGTGGACCTGAGCGGTGGTGTAAGATCTTGGATGTGTAAACTGAAGGAAGGTTGAAGAAATGAAGTCCTTTGTTCTAAATATGAGGTATGCATCAAGCCCCGGGCTTCCTTCTCTTCATCTGCATAATAAGAGAGCTTGCTAACAAATACGACTTTTAGAGTATTTTGCTACAGGGAAGTAAGCCGCTTTCCAAACCACACAGTTGCTCAGTGACCACAGAGCTTGACCCCTGACAGCCTCAGGAACCGCATCTAGAGAACAGTTAAATACAAAAGTCAACTAGCCATCACCCAAGAGGTTGAGAAAATGTCTATTGAGCACTTACCTCGGGGTTCCGTGGCTCTGTGACCTTAGGTCAATTACAGAATATCCTGAAACCTTAGCTTCTGGTTCTTTAAAATGGCACCGTCATAGCACAGACCTTATAGAGTTGTTGTGAGGACTGTGGACGTGTAGGCACAGTGAGGGTTAGCCCTGACCGCAGTGCGGTCAGCACTCCATATCCGAGGGTTCCACATCCATGGAGTCAACCAACCACGGATCAAAAGTATTTGAGAGAAAAAAATTCCTGAAAGTTCCAAGAAGCAAAACTTGAATTTGCCTGCATCAGCAACTATTTCCACAGCATTTACATTGTGTTAGGTATTATGAGTAATCTGCAGATGATTCAAAGCATACGGGAGGATGTACATAGGTTATATGCGAATGAAAAATGTTTACATAAGGGGCTTGAGCATCTGTGGACTTTGGCATCTGACAGGGAGCAGGGGGGTTCCTGGAGCCTCCCCATTGTGGATACGGAGGACGCCTGAATCACCAGCACCACCACCGCTACTCTTAGTATGAGACAGACACTGCTGGGATGCCCCGCCAGGAATTTGGGATCCATTAGGAGCCACAGAGTTTCACCAGGGCAGACCAAGGGTCTCTCCCACTTCCCTCTTCTCAGAGTTCACTAAACTTTCTCGAGGAAACACAGGGAAAGCTGGCCCAAGAGCACATTTGGAAAACTCTTTCCTTAGCTCATCATCTCCCCTCCAACCAGGGCCCTTCCTAGGTCATCTCAGGGGAAAAAAAATAATTTAGCCTGATGCTTATAAGAAGCCCTAAGTCCCCAGATGGTGAGAGAGAATCAGCCCTCATTGTAGACCACAGTGTTCTAGACACAGCCTCCAGGTACAGGGCCATTTCAGAGACAGGCATATTCAAGAAGATACTTCAGGCTTTCTGCTTAAGCCAGAGGAGGCTTTTTTCCCCTTTTCCCTTTACTTTTGTTTTTTGATTGAAGTATAGTCGGTTTACAATGTCATGTTAATTTCTGGTGTAAAGCATAGTGATTCAGTTATACATACATATATATATATTCCTTTTCATTACAGGCTATTATGAGATATTGAGTATAGTTCCCTGCACTGTACAGGAGGACCTTGTTGCTTATCTGTTTTACATACAGCGGTGTGTATCTGCAGATCCCAAAGAGGCTTTCTTGATGCGTTACGTAGCCAGGGCCCAAACTGGGGAAGGGACATAAAGTGCTTACCTTAGGCACAAAGTTTAAAGGGGAACCAAACCCTCAGAAGTCAAGGGAAATAATATTTTAATGCAATACGTAAAAAAACAAAATCAAACAAAAAACCCATAATGGAAACTACATACAGATTTTAAATAAAGAGTAACTCAGTATTTCTGATTATGTTCCTTTTGCCTCAGGCTCCAGATGGCTGGTCAGGCCCCGTAACCGATCCTGTCTTTTCCCAGAGGAGGGGAGAAAAGAAAGAAGGAAATTAGCAGTATTTCTTTTCTGCATTTAGATTATGACAAGCACTTAGC